TTCATCATCGCGCCTAACCCACAGTCCCTTCGATTCCGAGAGCCATACAGGAGCTGCAACACCTGATGCCAACTATCACCATGTTACCAGCAGACTTCATGCCTACAGCAACGGGACAGAAGAAGAGCGCGGCCTTGACATTGATCGAGCCAGACATACAGACACATCAACTTGTTCGGCCCCGGCTGGCGTGAGATCCACTCGTCGGAAAGGCCAAAGCCTAGCGAGGTCTCGATACGTCGCAGGTTGGTGTTGTCAACTACGGCGGGCCGTCACGCTCCGGATCTGATGTCTTGACGTTCGACGCACGAAAAGTCTGCTGTGTCTACATGTGTTGGATCTAGTACGTGGCGTTTGTACTGCATGGCAATCTGTTCGAGCCGGACTTATGTATGGCGACGAAGTACCCGTGCATCTCGCCCACAGGGACGAAAGTCCCCATTGGACCTCCAACCTCTTCCTTCATCTACTACGTTACGAAGCCGGTGTCACAGTATTACCACTCGACACCAGTCACTCTATGCTGATATCTGACCAGTCGCGTTAGTCGTCAACACGTATGTTCAGCATACGTATGAATTGACGAGCGTCTACCCATCCGATCGAGCAGTTTTATTTCTGTTGCGGTCGTCAATGCGGCTTTTGAGGATGTCCTTTGTCCGTATCATCATGCCCTTCGTTTCTCAAGAGAGCGGAGCGGAAACAAAGACTAGTCTCAGGAAGTCTTGTCACGACGTACAGAGAGAAGCATCTTGGCTTAACAACCCATGATGATTGTGTCCATTGGTGAGTGTTGCGTGTCTGTTGTGCCAAGTTGACTAGGATCTTGTTGCTCACGCGAGCTGGAGCACGGACACGATGGTCTTGCAGCGATGAGAAGAGCTGTTAGTGTTGAAGTTGCGACGCCGCCTTCTATCGACACATGATCGCATTGACAAGTCCTACAACCTCGGATTGATCGGTCTGCGTTCTTTGGCTTGGCCATACAACAAGAGAGCTGAGCATGAGAGTCTGGAAACCCGACAACAGCATATTGGTGGACAGTGAAAGCGACAAAGCAGTGATTCTCGAACCAGAAAATAGAGACGGGACCTCTCAAGAGTGAGGCTCAAGGTCTAGACCTGTCTGTCAACATTTCCTGCGACAAGTTCCTGCGGGCTCTTCATTCTTCCATCCAACTTGCTTCGCGGGCATGTCACCACCTTTCTTCGCCACGGTCTCTTGGCTTATGCCCTGGGCGCATTACCGCTTGATCACCGACGTCGTTCTTGGAAATGTGATTGGTGTGAAAGTGGGGGAGCGTGGCATGGCGTCATCGTGGGTGGTTCAATGGCTGTCCTTCGGGATGGCCAACTCTTTTTTCGATAAGTCTTCTGTCTTGGACGGCTAATACTACGCTAATTAATGCAGGTACCGAAATCGGTTCTGGGCTACTCTAATGTTCGTATTGGGGCTTGCAGCTGCAGCGGGTGCACCCCTCAGGTGTGTCAGCCCTTGGCCAACCGAGCTCGTACCCATTCAGCCTATACAGACAAGCTACAAAAACGAGTCACCAAGACCGCCACATTCCTCACGCGACCCTCCTTACTCCAAATATTGTTTAGCAATATCTCTGGACTTACAGATCAGACCCCAAATTATCGATCACGAGCTACCAAGCGTTGTCATTCTCGTCAGTCGGGGCATATGGTTGGAGCAACAATTCATACTCTATTGCTTGGCTCGAAGCCTCTTCCACAGGATGAAGGAGGAGGTGAAGTCTCGGTACTCACCGTTGCTAGTATGCACCAATAGGGAACCGTTTGGGTACGAAGCTGGGGAGAGATTACCAGGGAATGATTCGGCGACAGCATGCAATACTATGCACTGAAGGTAGCACAATACAAACCTTGTTTTCAAATGCCAGACCACCTGTGAGTAAGCGACGCTACATGTTATTTTGAGAAGACGTTGGCATAGCCGTCTTGACAATGATCGACTCCTATACGGCCTGCGCTCGTTCATACGACAAAAGCGACGTATGTTTAGTACTCGACGGTGATTAAACGCACATGTATCACTCCACATGCATCCTTTTACACCATGCTCGAGCCATCGCGAACCACGTCATTGACAGCTATAAGCTTCTAACGCTGAGTATAAATCGGGATGCGACTCGCAACAACTTCAACGCCATTGCTTCACCGTCTTCAATCCTGAGTTCAAGATGTGGGGCTTTTTTGTTCAACTTGTTCTCGCGTTCACTTTGCCAGCTTTGGCCCGCGGCGATACCTGTTCATCAGTCGCTTCTCTCGGTTACATCACCGTCACATACCCCCTCAACCTGGCCTACATTGAAGAACAAACCCAGTATTGGTCTACTTCGTGCTCTGCTCTTCTCCCGTCCTGCATCATCTTCCCAAGGACGGTGGAAGAAGTCTCGACCGTAGTGCAAATTCTCGCCAACACCACTGAACGCTTCGCCGTCAAATCTGGTGGCCACAATCCCAACAATGGATGGAGTAGCGTAGCCGGGGGCCCACTCATTGCCATGGAGCATTTTGATCAAGCCGATCTCGACCGCAGCACAGGTATCGTCGACGTAGGTCCTGGTAACCGGCTTGATGGCATTGCTGCTAAGCTCCAAGGCACGGGCTGGACGTTTGTCGGCGGTCGCATCGGCAACACTGGAGTCGGCGGACTAGTACTGGGTGGAGGGCTCAGCTACATGTCGACGCAGTACGGATGGGCTGCGTCAAGTGTCCTCGAGTACGAGATTGTCTTTGCCAACGGCACTATCGGCCACATCCGGAACGACAATCACCCCGACCTATTCGTCGCGCTCAAGGGAGGTGGTAACAATTTTGGCGTCATAACAAACTATAAGCTGCAGGCTCACCGACAAGGCGACATCTGGGGCGGCAACCTAGTGTATCTGCGCACGCCGAGCAAGGACAAGCAGCTACTTCAAGCAGTTCGTGACTGGACAGAGTACAACGAGGATGAGAAGGCTGCGGTCATAGTCACGGCTGAGCGAGCGAACCTTAACGTAGTCGACTCTTGGATCATCTTCTTGTTCTACGATGGTCCAACGCCTCCAGCAGGGCTATTCGACAACTTTACCGATGTTAATCCCTTACTTGACACGACCCGAACGCGCACCTACGCCGATCTCATGGCCCTAAGTAACTGGGTCGTGATCAAAGGCAACGTCGTGGACATTGCCACAGAAACGATACCTTTACCTTCCCGCGCCAATGCTGTCGAGGTTATGGAAGGACTGCACGAGCACTGGCGCGACGTCTCTGACACCACACTACTCGTACCTGGAATCGTCGCATCCATCGCATGGCAACCATTCCCAAAGAAGATTGCGCAAAAGGCCCGGGAATTAAGCCCTGATCTGATCGATGCTGATGCAGACGTCGATCGCATTATCATCGAGATGAACTATGCTTTCACGCCTCAGTCGTTGTATGAGCAGATGGCTGACACGATGGAAGCTACCTATTCAGGCGTGAGGAAGAGAGTTCTGGCGTGGCAAGCAGAGGGCAAACTACCGGAAGCGTATTTGCCAGTCTTCATGAACTACGGGTTCTTTCGACAGGATTACTTTGGGAGGTTGAGGCCTGAGAGCCGGGCGTTGGCGAAGAGGGTTGCGGATATGGTGGATCCGGCGGGTTTGTTCAGGTCACGCACTGGGGGCTGGAAGCCATGAGATTGGCGTGATCATGATTGATTCGAGCTTTTCGCTCAATATTGGGCGAGACTATTCCTACAAAAGCTGCTGCTTCATCACAGATCTGCTGGGGGTCGCGTGATCTTCGTTAGATGATCCCCATTCAACTCTTTCATGATCTTGCCTAGACCTTCGTGACTGTAGTCCTTCTCATTCCACATGTCCTGCCTCATGTTAGCAACAACCCTTCGAGCTCAATGAGAGGTTGCGCAGACGTGCGCTGTTCAATGGTTTTCGCGTACCTTGTGATACCGCACCTTGCCTTCTTGATCGAGCGTCAGTGTAATCAAGCTGTTGACCTTCTTCGCAATCGGCATAGGCTTTGGAGTGTACTCCTGCTGCAATTTGAAGATAATCTCATCAGGCTTGGAGGAAATAACCTCCGTCTTGATCGTCCGACTGCTCTTCATGAGTTTCGGGATACCTGTCAGGCGTTAGCAAAGCGTGCCTCCTCATCACCGTTCAAGTCTAGGCATTGCTCACCATACCACTGCCCAGCAATCTTATACCTGGTATCGCAATAGCTCCATGGGTCGTCGTATACCGCCTCTTTGCCATACACCATCATGTCTTGTTCGCTAGCGCTGCCAGAGTATAAGTTGCAGATAGACTGCACTATTTTCTCCCTCGCAGGCTCCAAATTCATCGAATTTTCAGGATGTGGCTCATAGTCGACTCCCGAAGAGCTGTTTTGCGACTCATCGGCGTTGTGGGTCAATGCGACCGGGTCGGGTCGCTTCTCGAAGTCGTTCTCGAGGCGTGCCGCGAGTGTGTCCTTTCCGGACTTGCCCGTAACTGGAAGTGTCATATTATCAACTGGAAAGAAGATTGTGAAGCCGTAGGGATTGTACGACTATTTGAAAAACATCTACTTCTCATGAACAATGTGTCTTGACGTCATGGCTAGCTACTTTGGGGTGTGGCTGCGCGATGCGAGACGTCACGAGCCTGCCAATGAAGCCGTGCCACAATCTGAACTTAAGCAATCACCGTAAGAGCATGCCAGAGAGGTATTGAACACTGTGAAGAAAGACCGGGCCAATGCCATTGATCAAAAGCATGTGAGTGTCGCCAGAGGTACGGAAAATTCATCCTCAGATCGTTTCACATGAGATGCGCAACGCCTGATTTGAGCCTCCTGTCGTTCACAACAATCGTCATGTTCCGAGAACGTTCTGGATATGACCTTTTCGTGTTGAATCTCTCGTGTTGCTGTCCGATACATTCAAAATGTGGGTAGCATTTTACAAGCTGGAAGAATGAGTCGACGTCGTAGGCGATGCTACGTATACCTCTTGGGTTTGTCTTGGAATACTATCTGCACTGCATTTTGCTCTGAGGACAGTGAAAGTTCAGTACTACGAGAACGGCCCTAACCTTCGATATGGATTGGCCATTTCTCTACAGCTTCATAGAGCATCAGCAAACTGCCCATGAGATATACTGCGGGTGCCCATACCAGAGCCAGTGTACTCTGATACTCGCACCAACCTGTGCTACAATATCCCAGACAAGCACTCCAGATCCAACCTATGCTACCCACCAGATTTGTCATTCCAACCCACCACCCGACCATGCGCGGCGCGGGCTTCCACCACTGGCGCTGCACTTCAAACAGGTATAGTATCGAAGCGACCAGGAAGCAGATAGCCCCAAGCAGGAAAGAAGGATAGTATAGCCCATAGAGCACACCTTGCGGGAGGTTCTTGTATACACCTGGTAAGGTGAGGAGATTCGTGACCCAGTAGATGGCTGTACCGATGAAGAGGATGAGATTTGCGTTAAAACCGATCTCTCGACGATAGTGAACGCGAACATCCTGCCACGTGGGCCACCATTTCCAGGCTTGCTCAGGCCCTGACTGGGGACGTGCCTCAACCTTGAACGTCTTCGTGTGCAATATTCGATGCTTCATGCGGTCGGGGTTGTGGATATGCGTGCAGTTTCGACGGTCGGGTTGGAAGCCGGAGGGGTTCTCGGTCGCTTTCTCTTCGTCCGAAGACGCGAGTTCGATGTTCTCGTTGTCGGAGTTCAAGCTTTCCTTGAGCGCCCAGCCAAAGCAGTCGCTCTGGTTGGCGTTCACCGCTTGGACTACAAGGAGCATGCCACCCAGCAGAAACAACATTCCACGGAAGAAGGATATCGCGCCGCTGATGGTGCTCGGGTCGGCGGCGAATCGCGTATCTGGATATGCGACTGGAAGCCATTGAAGGACGCCAGACGTGATCGAGCATATCGAGCCGACAGTAAAGACGACGCCAACCCACCACGAAACGTCCCACCAGGCTACGACTGTGATCATGCGCACAAGCGCTCGAAGAAGGCGCGTAGTACGTGCGGTGCGCGAGGGTGCTTGACCGTGACTGAGGAGAAGTATGTGCCGGCCTGGAGAAGAGACTCGTCAGTACAATCTTCGGCTTATATATAATACAGCTGTGTACGTACCCTTTCGATTCTCGCGACTCCACCACTCCCATTCCGTCCCGCTTGCGTGTCCATCTTCGTTGTTGACGGCATAGCGCCGTGAATTGGCATTTTGGAAGTTGAGAACCTTGTGCGAGCTACCGTGAACGTAGTCTAGCTGCTGTGACGAGTCTTGGAGACGGTCTTTGTCATTGCTGGGGGTGGACATGGCTCGAGAATTTCGCGAGAAGAGAAGACCACGATCGGGGTATCCCTGTGTGAGGCCTCATGTCTTTCAAGGTCTATCGTCGCCATAGCTTCTTGCATCATCTTGGGGGTCCCGCGAAACGCGTCCTGAAAGCGGTAAGTCAACCCATCGTTGACAAGATGATGATGCGTGATGTCATGGTGTGGAGAGTTTCGCGTCGATCTTGGCAGGGAAGCTGTCGGCTAGCGTCTGGGGTTTCCACATGTCGCGGCCCCCCAACTCTCAAGTTAATGACACGACGCATTCGCGATCACTCAACATCAAAAACGAGCGCGAAAGTCCAGGCGACACCCTCTTTCACTTGTGATGAGTTCTCTCGGTCTGGAGAGTCATCTGTGACCCGGTGCGCGATTGGAACCGCACCTGGGCACGTATGAGCATGTTTCGTGAAACAAACCAAGCTACCGGAGAACACCCATATCAGTAATCGGTCTTACATTCCTAGGAGACAGCGTGCACGAATAAAAGTAATGTCAAGGAGCCGAGTCAGAGGGCTCGGGATAGTGCGATGCGATGGTTCCCGCATCTAACCCCCATTCCCCGTCCTGCATTCGTCGCCCATCAGTCCCAAGGTTGTCTATCAACAGCCGCAGACCATGCATTACTTGCAGTGCGCAGCTTGGGTTCGAGCTTTCAGAAAACACATGCGCTCTGGCATCCTCGAGGAAGTCCGGCAAGTTAATCCTCCCCATGGTGGAAAAGCACTCGCAGACGGGTCTCCCATGTTCATCGCGTCTACATGAAGGTGCCACGCGTACGACACCTCTTGGCTTTTGTGTATATTCCGCTAATACATCCCGTTGATGAGATTCGCGCACTCAAGCCGATAGAGAACTAACAATGGCCTCATTTCGGGCGCATGGCAGGACGGGTGCTTCGGCGCCGAAGCGTAATCATGCAAACAGCACACCAATGGTTTGGACAACGCGGAAGGCGATGGGATAGCTGATTACTGACCAGACATGAGGTAGAAGACATACGCTGTTTTTCTGGATATAAAGAGGGTGCCCTGATAGCCATAGTCCCTACCACGCTCATTATACACAACTATCCACCACACACCATGCTTCGCCCCCATTGCGTCAGGCCTAGTGGTCTACTCGCTCTCATCTCGAATATCGTACTTTTTGGATCTCTCTTACCACGTGCTGCAGCGCAGGATGATGCCACCAAACTCAAAGACTGCTTAAGTAGCTCCACCATCTTAGCCTCTTTGGCGACCTTTCCTGATGCTACAAACTGGGATACCATTACGTCCCCATGGGCACTGCGATTCAACCCAGAACCAGCCGCAGTTGTTGTTCCGCGCAACCAAGACGAAATCGCTGCTGCGTTGGCATGCGCCGTAGATGCGGGTGTCAAGGTCTCACCGCTAAATGGAGGACATTCCTATGGAGCTTATGGGCTGGGTGGCGTGGATGGAGCGCTTGTGATCAACATGGAGCGCTTCACGGAGACTACATTCGACGAGGCTACTGGTTTATTCACGTAAGTGTCCGCGCAATCAACTTCAACTTACTCTGTGCTAATGACCATAGCTATGGCGGTGGAAGCCGAGTTGGGCCAGCTGCAACATGGCTTTGGGAGAACCACGGGCGTCACTTCCCCCACGTCCGAGCTAATTGGGTAGGCCTTTCTGGGTCTTCCATCGGTGGTGGCTTTGGAACCACCAGTCGTTTTCTCGGTATTCCTATGGATAATCTCGACAGCGTCAAAGTGATGCTATACAATGGCACAGTGGTCACTGCTTCCCGCACGGAAAACCCAGACCTGTTCTTCGTTGTTCAAGGCGCAGGCTCTTCTTACGGCATCATTCTGTCTCTGACAACAAGCACTTGGAAACCAGAGTTCGACATTGTCACAAACTTCACGATCTCACTTGGTGCTGTCGACCTTGACACAGGCGTCCAAGCCCTAATTGATATCCAGGATTGGGCCATGACTAAAGCACCCGATACCTTCGCTCTGCGATGGCAACTGGCAGGCGAATGGAATGGCAGTGGGTACTTCTATGGTAACCCGGACGAGTTTGATGCTCTCTTCGCTGGCCTGGTCGAACGTCTCCCAAATACTACAACAACTACTGTGCGAACGGCGGATTTCTGGGCTATGGAGAACTTTGCCGTTCCACAGATCAACGGAACTACCGACGCCTTCCCTCCGCGCAGCATGTACCTGCAAGCACTGGTTCTGCGCAAAGATCAGCCTTTTACCTTCGAGTCCGCCAAAGCGCTCTACCAGTACACAACAATCGCCTTCAACCGCACTGACCTGACTGAGTTTGGCTTCTTGGACTTATGGGGTGGCGTGTCTAGGGATGTTGACGACTCAAAGCAGGCGATGGCTTACTCCAACAACCAGTGGCTCATCCGCTGGGAAGGACGTCTTGCTAACGGCCTAACCCAATGGCCTGCTGACGGCATTGAGTATATGCAAGCTGGTTTCCGACCTTTCCAGGATCAGCTGAAGAAGGAGGGTGTACCACTAAGGGGCTTTGTGAATTACAGAGATACGGAGCTCTCCGTTGACGAATGGAGCGTGAGGCTATACGGGGACAACTTTGAGAAGATGAAGAGGATCAAGTCGAACCTAGATCCGCAGGGTGTCTTTACGACGCATGCGCAAAGCATTCCCTCATCCTGATTTATCGACAAATGGAGTATAGGATCAAGTCTCTGTTAAGTGGTTCATCAGATGCAGACGCTTGTCAGGATTGACTTTGGCTTTTCCATGTATATAGGCGGTTGGCTGAATTGGGGTCGAATTCACGTCATTCACTGTGAAGGGCGATTGGTAAACATCAATTGAAACGTACTGCAACATGGCTTTGACAAGTTTCGATGCACCGAACCGGCCATTCTGATTCATTAAATCTATGTTATATACAAGAAGATGCGCTGTCTTAAGAGTCTAATACAGACTATCAACTAGCGCTGGCTGTCTAACAAGTCAGGTCAAAGAACGGCGTGTTGTTCTGAAGGGGCGTGATAGCAAAAGACAAGTCGGTCTGCGCGGCATTGGCGTCCTTCAAGGTGTACCAGAAGGTGTTGCGGGTACCGAAGAGCGAGCAGCCAACTTCGTCCCAGTAACGCTTCGAGTTCTCGAGAGAGGCAACGGCGGAGCCAGAGTTAGGGCCAACTATACTTGTATTAGTATGATCATCATCTAGAGGATTATTCCACAACTTACTTCGTGGCCAACCGGTCTCAGTAACCCAAACAGGCTTTCCATCAGATACACTCTCAGTCTGACCAAGACCCGCAAAGAAGTTCTCACGTGCCAGGTCGATCGAGTTTGGCCTCGTGGTCTCGAAGTATGGGAATGAGTTGTGACCAAGCCAGTTCACGCTGCGCGCAACACCGCGGTTCTCAGGCAGAACCCAGGCAGTGAATGTGTCGACATGGCCGATAGGCTTGCCCTCGAGCGCGGTGCCACGGATCCAGTCGCGCATCCAACCAATGTAACCCTCAATCTCAGCACCAGTAGCACCAGCGCCAGCGTTGTTCTGTACACCTTGCGGGCTGCTGCGGTACAAGTCCTCAGACCCTACGCTGATGCCGATAATCTTGTCTGTGAAAGCGGTTCCGAGTTCCCTGGCGCCACGAATCAGGGCGTTGAGTTCGTTCTCGTATGCCGCACGGCCGGCACTGGCCCAGAGACCGACGAGGAGTTGAGTGTCGGTGTCGATGGCTGCTTGGAAGGCAGAGATGGGATCGGCCGCGGTTCCGCATTGAACCGAAGTGTAAAGACGGGCTGTGTTGAAGCCCGAAGCTTGAGGCAGGCTCTTTGCCTCATTGAAGAAGCGAACGAAGTCGTTGTAGCCGCGGCATGATCCGTCTGCGTTGGTGGCACCGTAGTTGAAGCCTTTGCTCTGGGCGACAGCGGTGGTCGCAAGGGCGAGGATAGAAGCAGCTTTGGCCCACATGTTGAGAATTAAGAATAGGGTATTAAGTCTAGTAAAACGAAGGGATACAGGTGTAGAGGCCAGGGATGGAGCAACCTTTTATTCCTCCGCAGAGCTGAAGTTTAAAATAGAACGTTTGCCCCTGCGCATCATCGCTGGCTGCATGCCAATCCAGATGACGTGGATGAGGCTCGTACTTTTCTTTGCCAAGCGTTGTTGAATGGCGATCTGCCGAGCGCCAGCCTGGGCGGAAAGCTCTTTCGAGAAGTCTCTCTGTAGACGGTTGCGCGAGGCCTCGTCTACACAAGCAAACAAATGACAGTGCGACGCAAGCTGCTGTGCGTTTGCGCCAAAGAAGTTGGGCAAAGCTGGGGAAAGTCGCCAGGACGACAGCTAGTTCTCGTGATGATGGAGCCCTCGGAGGCGACCGTCGACATGTGCCATGCGCATTAGCACGAATACGATCGATTTCCCGGGCAGCCGAATCGGATTTGCGCTGGTCTCGAACGCGCGGTGCGGTGAGGATGCGGTCAAGTCGCAGCTGCCCAGACGGAAGATGTGGGGTAGGGAATCATAGCGGCGCGAGGGTGCGGACCAAGTTGCATTGCGGACAATTTCCCGCCGGGACAGCCTCGCTGCCCTTCGCCCTTCGACATTCTTTACTAGTCGTGGCTCTAACGAATTATCGCTGTGCGACGAAGTTTGCCAACTGTCATTCACGCAGTCTCGGAATAAAGGCTGCGGGACAGAACTTGGATCATACCTAGGTACATGCAAGAACGCTGACCTGAGGCGGTGCGGTGGCTCACCGGTTGTCTAGCGAGGCATGGGCCTTGCTTGAGCATTCGCGCACGGTGCGACAGACGTCGTGCTGCTGGTCTAGAGCCTTTCTTTGTTTTTGAGGGCTTCTGAACAAAAGATGAACTTATTCTCGACTTCCATCGGTGACGGACGGTGGCGGTGCTCAGGTGTCGTAATGTCGCGTTGATCGCGCTGGTGCCGCCGAGGTAGCCGTTGCAACATTCCACTCACGGAGACGATAATGACTGCGATAACG